GGATAGGCACAGAAGGGACAGACTGTGCATGTATTTGGGAAGAGTATGAATATGACCAAAAGACATTGTATGAAATTCTAAAAGAACTTTTTTTTTTAAAAAAAGCATACATTATAGGAAGTAGGTCCTCACCAAAACCAATATGGAGAATTGCAGATGAAGCTTCATGGTACAACTGAGTTAAATTTTGGATAAAAGCAACTTTAGGAGACAAAAGCTTCATTTTTATTGATTTCTGTTTTAAAAAACAAATTCAAATTCACTGAATTCCATCCTATTATAATTTAAAAAATTATGCATATACTTTATACATAATTTATTATGTATATACTTTAAAAAAATGTATGAGTGCTCTGTCTACATATATACCTGCATGCCAGAAGAGGGCATCAGATCTGTTTATAGAGTGTCATGAGCCACTATATGGTTGTTAGGAGTTGAACTCAGGACCTTTGGAAGAGCAGGCAGTGCTCTTAACCACGAAGCCATCTCCCCCGCTTCCCTCATTGTGATTTTAATAAAAACAAACATACTCTTTATTTTATAAATAATCTTTAATAGGATACACATTTTAGGGAATTTAATATAATGGAATTTTGGGTGCAGTAAGGCTAAAAAGTTTCTTTTGTTACTACAGGACAAACCATGATGTTCATGAGTATGAACAATTGCTTAATGTCAATTCAACTTAGGTTTTAAAAAAATACATTTCTGGGAAAGTATGCTCATGTCTCTATATTGCCAAAACCTACAAATACAGGCCTATTTCTCTATGATTGGAATGCTGCCTTTGCAGAATTTCACAAAATTAAGCCGCCTTTTTCCCCTAATATTTTGACTTAATATAAATCACTGCAATAATTAAAGTTATAATTCATTGATTTGATTGGAGAATAGTTTGTAAACACTTATCTTTGCATATTCCATATTTAAAATAAATACATACATTTTGAAACATCTATGTTCATTCTATTAGCTCAAAAGAAAAGAAGCTTCTGTGAACATGTATGTGGGTATCTATATGTATTCGCAACTTGCTTTCAATGTAAATAGGCAGATGTTTACTAGAAAGTATGATAAATATGTTTGATCTGTTACAAAAAACTCCAAAATTATTTTCTAAAGGTTACATAATTTTACATGTGAATAAGCAATGTATTTGAAATTTATTTGGTATACATCTTGACTGGCCATTTTTCTACATTAGCCACTAGCCATAAGTAGCATATGGCTATTGAGGCCTCCTTGTAAGTTTTATCATAGTTTTCTAGCACCAGGTAATATATTAGCATATACTTATAATGACTGTGTAAATACATATCACAAAATATGTTAATCTAGTTTATATTCTTAGAGTTAAATTATATATTTTTAATGTCTCTCCTAGAGAACCCTTTAGTAACACTGATTGTTTACAGATGTAAATGATTGTTTGCAGATGCTTGCTATTTATATTTAATGTGAACTTCAGTACATTTAAACTTTTAATAGTTATTCTATAAAATTTTATTCATTTTTCAGACTTGTCATTTTATATCATAAAGGGTTTCCTACTTGAATGTTAAAAAGTAGTTCTGTTTTTGTCCTGAAAAGTTTCAGGTTTAGAGATAAATCTGAGTTAAAGTGTAAAGTTATTGTTATTTTTCAACTTGGAAGAATCTAGAATCATCTGGTAGTTGTATCTTTGTACATACCTGTGGGAAATTATCTTGGTTTGTTTAGTTGAAGTGGAATGATCTGCTCACTGTGGTTGGTGACAATTCACCCTAACAGAAATCACCATGCATGTATTCATTTCTTTCTTTTGTTGACATATAGTATGTGACTAGCTGCTTCAATTCTATGTAGCACTGGTTTTATAGAAGCTACACCCTGAATTGTGAGCTAAAATAAACTTTTCCAGCTTTAGTTACTTTTCTTAGATTACTTTACCACAGCAACAAGTGAAGCAACTAAAATAGAAATCACACTGGAAAGTGGAGTCCCTACTGTACTAAGTGGCCCATGAGGTTCCTTGACCATAGGAACTGTTTTGTGGGTGAACTGTAGAAGAGATTATTAGAAGAGCCCCTGAATGGTGGTGCTAAAGGTTGATGGGACTCTCTGAGCTTGGAAAACAAGAGTGCTGAGACAATATGTGTATAGTAACAGTAAAGCTAATGAGGTTTCTGAGGTAAATAAATCTACCAGGAACTGGGATAACTGTCATTTTTTTTTTTTTTTTTTTTTAGAATCTTGCAGGCAGCCTGCCCAGCCTGGAATGGGCTGTAGGGTAACAAAGTCAACATAGGGCTGAAGACTGATGATCTCTGACCCTTAAACTCTTTAACTATGCTGAATGACGAAGCTGCTGGCTTCTAAAAAAAAAAAAAATCTAAAAAAAGTGGCCTTGCTTATTCTGTGGTTGAAAACTGCTGGCTTGGGTGTTTAACACCTGTTGCTTAACAGTGAGGGATTAAGTAAAGGATTAAATGGTAGGGCTTTTTTTCCTCTCTTGCTCAGAAGTCTCAGGTCTCACTTGCCAGGTGGGAGGGTCATTTGGAGCCATAGACTTTTATTGACCCAGAAGAGAGTTATGCTTGTAGAAGGAAAAACTTTTACATAAGCAAATATGCATAAACATATCTATTTTCATATGCACATTCATACATACACATTCATTATCACATACTTATTTGTTGGGCCCAATAATCTGTTTTACATACTTACTCAGATACACCTACACTTACATACATAATGTATATGGAGCAAAAGCCCAATCGCCAGTGCAGAAAGAACTCACTCATTCTGGATGAAAAATAAACTTCAACCTTTATTGCATAGAGAAAGAAAAAACTTCTACCCTTTTATTGCTAAATGAATTAAACCCAAATTTATAAGAAGAAAGCTTTTTCCTCTTTAGTAAGACTAAACCTACCTTGCTGTTAAGAAAAAAACCTGTTCCACCCCATGGTAAGGAGAAGGCTGCCTGCTCCTGCTGCTCTGTCTGTAGCTCCTTCTTTGTCTCTCTTTCTCTTTGCATTCTGTGTACCATTCTCTTCTTCTTCCTCATAATCCTGTTTTCTCCTTCTGCCTGCTAATGTCATCATTTCTATTTTTTTGTACTTTTTTAGAAGAATAGATCACATAGTATCTATTTCCAGAGTTCACTGCAAGTTTAAATATAAATTCAAATCATAAATTAAATAACAAGTTTACAACAGAGATTTTTACATGGGTTTTCATTAAGACTTGCTATCTAACTAGACATTTCTGTCACTAGCCCTGCAGGTTCATTCAAAGTTAAAAACTATAAGTCTAAGTTAACAATGAAGTTTTGTATAGATAAAACAATCAATATTTTATCTTCTGTCATTGTACCTACAATAAATCATTTGTTACCTTTTATGACTTTTGGTTAATTGTTTTACAGCTCTAAGGAATGTATTCAAAGTTGTAAATATGCTCTTTCTATGTCAGAAGCAATTAACTTGTGACACTTGAAGACTGGCAGAGTTCTAATTGGAGTTTCCATATACCAGAGAGGGCTTTAATAGTAGTCCTATTATAAAGGGCCTAAGAATTAGTAGTATTATTTTAGGAATTCTTATAGAATCATCATTAGGAATTAATAAATCATATTTTTGTCTGTATAGCATTATTAAAAGACTGGACCATCTTCGCTGGTCTGTAGAAAATCTGCCCAAAAGTGTGGACTGGTGCTCAGGGATTATTATATTAATTTAATAATGACAGGAAAGGCACATTAGTAGCAGGAATCAAATCCTGAAATGTCATTCCTTGTGTCTTGACTGCAAGGGCTCATTCATCAAAGTTCACAGTCCATGGTGAAACTCAGAATGAAAATCTGCCAGCCTTTAGCCTTTCCTAGATGGCTCCTGACAGAGTCTGACTTAGTTCTGCCTTTGTCCTGAAAACCTGAAACTGAGTTTAAAAACAGTGGACTAGTTTGTTTCTCAGAGTACACTGGAAGAGGAGAGAACATTTGGGTTGATACTAAAAAAAAAGTAGTTGTAATTGCTAGAGAGATTGGCTATTTTGTGGGTTCTTTTTCTTTCTCCCTTTTCACCTCTGACAGTCATGCTGGCATTATAGGCATGAAAAATCCCAGGTTGGGTGTAGGGGCCATGGGCTTCTCATCATAGTTTAAGAGAAAAGGCAGGTCTAGGCAATGAATGCTGTGATTTGAAAACTTGAAGGAAGGACTTAAACAGATACTATATGAGGCTATGAAGAAACTAGCTTATAGTAGAGATCTCAAGAAACTGGAGATGCCAGAACCATGGGACCTGCCTTAAAGAGATCTAGAGAGCGGAGAACATGAAGTGGAACTGGCCCAGAAGAGAATCTATCTGTGTGTTGATTGCGGCAGAGTTGGAGGGGATGGATACCCACAAATTCAGAACCCAGTTAATAACATTATGAGTATCAGATTATGAACATGAAGTTCTAGAATTTTTAAAATTAATTAATTTATTTATATCACAATTGCAGCTTCTCCTCCCACATCTCCTCCCAGCCCCTCCTTCTTTCCTCCCTTCCCCCACCTTTTTTCCTCAGAAAAGGAGAGGCCTCCCATGAATATCAACCCTCTTTGGCATATCAAGTTGCAGTAGGACTAAGCACATCTTCTTCTATTGAACCTAGACAAAGAATTCCAGTTAGGGCAAAGGGATCCTAAGGCAGGCAACAGAGTCAAGAGACAGCCTCCACTCTAGTAGTTAGGGGTTCCACAGGAAGACCAAGCTGCACACCTGTTATATATGTGTAGGGGCCTACGTCTGTCCCATGCATGCTCTTTGGTTATTGGTTCAGACTCTGTGAGCCCATACTGGCGAATGTTAGTTGACTCTGTAGGTTTTCTTATGGTGTCCTTCACTCATCTGGCTCCTTCAATCTCTCCTCCCCACTCTCCTACAAGATTTTTCTGAGCTCTGCCTAATGTTTGGCTGTGGGTCTCTGCATCTGTTTCCATCAGCTGCTGGGTAAAGCCTTTCTTAGAAAATAAGGAATGTTTCATGGATTTGCATGTCATCCTTGTGCAGGGGCCATGTGAATCTCTGTATCTTTCAATTTTAGTATACGTGCTACGGAAGTGTGTACTCTAGAATTCTTTGTTTCTCCAGATGGATTTTGGTTTTGCTTAGGTGTAATCATTTATTTCTGTGCTCTTGGTTTTTCCACTTACACCAAGAAAATTTACATTTGACATTATATGTTGTAAGAATGTTATTTTATTTTTTTTAATATTATAACATAGTCATCAGCCTACAGGGTTAAGAGTTGGTCAGTTTGATGTCAAGATGCCAAGGCTGGAGTAGTAATGGTAGTAAATTGTTAACTTTAAGGGATCCAGAATCATCTGAGAGATGGTGTCTTAGGGTTTTACTGCTGTGAACAGATACTATGACCAAGGCAAGTCTTATAAAAAAACAACATTTATTTGGAACTGGCTTACAGGTTTAGAGATTCAGTCTAGTATCATCAAAGTGGGAACATAACAATGTCTAGGGAGGTGTGGTACAGGTTGAGATAAGAGTTTTACATCTTCATTGGAAGGCTGCTAGCAGAACACTGACTTCCAGGCAGTTAGAGTGAGGGTTTTAAGCCCACACCACCCACAGCAGTGACACACCTACTTCAACATGGCCACACTTCCTAATAGTGCTACTCCCTGGGCCAAGCATATACAAGCCATCACAGACGGTTATCTGGCTATGCTGGTGGGGAATTATCTTGATTTTATTTGAAATCGAATTGAATTTTAACTGATTATCTTGACTTAAATTAAGAATCTTAAAATGCCTACTGTAGGTGGTGTCATCTGCTGGCTGAAATCTTGTATTGAATAAGTAGAAAAGGGTATCTTCACAGCATGCATGTGTTCATTGCTTTCGTAACTTTAGACATATGGCTAGCTTCGTTTCTGCTGAATTGACTTCTGGATAATGGACTTTAAGTTGAACTTTGAGCTAAAATAACCTCTTTCTCCCTTAAGTTTCTTTGAAAGGCCTTTTTATCATATCAACAGAAAATAGAAATAAGATATAAGATATAAGGATATTTTTATTCTTTCACTATATTTTACTGAAAGAAAATACTATGCAGTTTCTCAGTGGGCTGCCTTTGTATTTTATTAATCATTCTTACCCATTCTCCTGAGGGCTCTGTTGGGAAAAAGGCAGTCCTGAGTGAAGATCCACTGAGAAATGATAGAACCTTGAAGGAATAGGGACAACAGGGAGAAGTTCAGTTATTGGAGGTGTCTTTTGCCTGGTTGCAGGCCCCTGGTGTTTCCTCACCTTCCCTTTCTTGAGCAGATTTTTTCCTGGTATGCCCTGTAGGCATCGGGAAACCCTGAGTTGTGCCAGAAACAGAGCCAGGCATTCACAGATAAGCACCTCTAAAACAGACTTTTCTATAAATATTGAGTATTTGGGGTGTTTCTATGCAGCAATGGGAAGGTAATGGCAAGAAACTCTTTGTAACAAGCTGTGAGAAATGCAAAGTATGAGCTTGTAGTGTGAAAGTGTCACAAAATGTGGTGGTTTATGAATCTGTCGCTATCTTTCTGAAAAACATCTACTAAACTTTTCTTGAAAATTTCTCTACCAGTAAATTGAGGGAAATTGATATCTTGAGTGAACATTGAAATTTTAAGATGCCTTTTTAGTGTTTTGTAGTTTTCAGTATAAAAATGTTCCTATCTACAATTGTTTTTGCAAATTTTTATTTTTTACTATATAATGATAGATTTTTAAATACCTTTTAAGAGTTTAATGTGAATATATGGTTAATATTTGCAGGTTAATCTCTCATTTTATGATAATGCTAGATCTCCTTAGTGTTTTCAAAAATCATATTCCTGGGGATTAACTAGAAAGATAACCATAACACCAGAAAAATAAAAACAATTTTCTTCCTTTTTTTTTTTTTCATGGCTCTGAGTTTATTGTTAGGGTGTTTTCTTTCTTTCTTTTTTTTTATAATTTATTTTTTCTCAAATCGTAATTCATTTACACAGGGGTTATAAACACAGAAAGGCAGGATGTGGGGAAGGGAATGACACTGGAGTGTGGGTGTTCAGGGGGAATACAGATATCTTCAGAACCAGGTATCGACTGGGTGAAGGTTCAGGGGGCAAGTCACTATGACTCTGCCTATGACTCACTTGTCCTTATCTAAGTATTGTCTGCCAAGGCTACCTATTTACAAGGTCTATGACTACTCAGGCTTGTAAATTTCCACAAAAGCTGCCTGTTTACAATACCTTATAGCCATCTGTTTCAATGTTTTCCCACTGAGACCCAAGACTTAGTGTTAGTATACATGTATGACAGGCCTATTGCTGATTTTAGGCCTATGGCTGATTTTAGGCCTTCAGTGTGTAAGCAGGGCTGCCCCTGACATCTCCTCCCTTCTCTAAGTATAGAAGGGCTGTGGCAATTCTAATCTTGCGAAGGCAGGGATAGAGGCCTGACCTCCAGTAATTGAAGGGGACCTTGCAATGGCTCCAGTCCCCTGTTGTTGTCCAGTGAGGCATGAGGGCCATACTCATCCCGATGTCTTTTTCCTGGAGAGGGGATACTTTTGACATCAACCCCTATGCAGTCAGGCTTGCCCCTCAGGGAACTCAGAGAGATATTTTTATCTTTTATTTATATTCCCTTGCAGTGCTTAGCCTCGCAGCCTAAGCAAGAATTCAGATGGCCAGTCAGAAGGGGTTCTGGGTGGCACCTCTCTGCTTGGTCTAGGGGCAGAAGTCCCCCCTTTTAGGTTGGGTGGAGATGGGTTTTGGAAACACCCTGTATAAAGTAGCAACCTCATCTTGAGCCTCGTGGTCCTCCATAGCTAACTTATGATACTGTATCTGAATAGGTTTTGCTACCAAATTATTTATCTGTTGTATCACAGAGTTAGTCCGCCTATTTGAAGCCCAGGGACCAGCAGAAATAAGCAAAAATAACCCAAATAATGGTCCCAAAATGGGAGGAAGTAGGGTTGACAACCTTGGAGTGGCTGAAAACCAATTCTTGTACCAGCATTCATCTGTCTCTTTCTCTCTCTGATTTTCCTCAGGGCCTTCACTGACCTATTTCATGCTCTCTTTAACCCTCCTTGTCTTGTCTATGTAAAGGCAACATTCTTCTTTAAGGGTTGTACACAGTCAAGAGCTGTACACAGCCTTTTCTATTGTGATAGAGTAAATCAAGTCTAATAAGGATCTTTGCGACTTTAGGAGGTCTCTTCAGACAGTGAAACGAGGGATTTCTTCAGATTAGTGAAGTCAATCTCTAGCTGTTTGATGTTCTTGTCAGTGGCCCTTCAAAGGTCTGAGTAGTATAATTTCGGAGGCCAGCATCTGGATTAGAACTTCTAGCAGCAGACATCATGGGTGATTCATTTTTACCTGGAAAGGAAAAATAAGGGAATTCTCAGGGAGATTTCTCTTCCCTGGATGTCAATTGTTACTCATCTTATTTATGGTTGGGCCTGGCTTTGTGGGGGTATCTATTTTTTTCATTAATCTTTTTGGTAGCTGGTTAGTTGTGCCTTCTGTGGTATGAAACAGGCATATCAATCCTCGGCCCCATAAGGGAACTGGGTCTAGACCATTCCCTTTAAGGGTATGAAGGTCCTTCCCCATATCTGTGGCAAAGTTTTTGTTGGTCTCTGTGGTGCCAGATGCAGACAGCAGCAGGTTTGCCATGAGCTTTCAGCTTTAGAGAGTTAAAAGTGAACAAGGCATGATGGAGAGTATTTCAGGGGGACTCCTTCTGAGGGGGTACCATTCCATTTCTTTTGTTTTTTAAAGCCAATTTTTCAGAGTTCTTGTAAAATCAGGGCAGAAGCGCCAACAGTCGCTCCTTCCACACTCAGAGAATCATGAAGACCCTATTTAAAGATATATAAATCTATATTAATAATCTTTTGTCTAAGGTCTGTTATAGCACCGCCAACAACTAATCAGACTATATAATATATCGATTAGTAATAGCTTCTTCTACTTTTTGTGAGATTACCTCTCTTTTGTCAATTAATTGTTGAGGAAAATTAGGATTTACATCTCTCTTGAGAATATTGAACAGAGACTTAAATTCTTTTGTGGAGAGCTTAAAATAGGATCTTAGCCAATTAGCAACTCCTAGAAACTTTTGAAAATAATTTAAAATAAGTAAGCGCTCTCTCTCTCTCTCTCTCTCTCTCTCTCTCTCTCTCTCTCTCTGGACCCTTTATCTGTGTTTTTTTTTATATATTATACGTATTTACTTTTCAATATCATCTCCTCTCTCATTCTCCCCCCAAACCCCTTATCCCATACCCCCTCCTCCTATTTTTATGATGGTGTGCTCCAAACATCCTCCCAGTCCCATCTCCCTTCTCTCGATTTCCCAAACAGTAGGGGATCCAAACTTTTGGGGACCATGGCCCTCCAATTCCACTGATGTCTGACATGGTCACCCGCAAATACCTATACAAGTGGAGACATGAGTCCCTCTCTTTGTGCTCTCTGGTTGGAGGTTTAGACTTTGGGAGGTCTGGTAGAAACTTTTGATACTCCTTCTAGAAAGGACCAAACCACCCACACTTTGGTCTTCCTTCTTCTTCTTGAGTTGCATGTGGTCTATGCCTTGTTTCTTAGATATTGTGAGCTTTTGGGCTAATATCCACTTATCAGTGAGTGCATACCATGTATGTTCTTTTGAGATTTGGTCATCTCACTCAAGATGATATTTTCCAGCTCCATCCATTTGTCTAAAAATTTCATGCACTCATTGTTTTTAATAGCTGAGTAGTACTCCACTGTATAAATGTCCCACATTTTCTGCATCCATTCTTTTGTTGAAGGGCATATGGGTTCTTTCCAACTTTTGGCTATTATAAATAAGGTTGCTATGAACATGGTGGAGCATGTGTCCCTGTTGTATGTTGAGACATCTTTTGGGTATATGCCCAGGAGTGGTATAGCTGGGTCCTCAGGTAACACTATGTTCAATTTTCTGAGATACCACCAGACTGCTTTCCATAGTGGTTGTACCAGTTTACAATCCCACCAACAGTGGAGGAGTGTTCCTCTTTCTCCACATCCTCACCAACTTCTG